TGCTGGGGCTGCCATTGCCCTGAACGACCACTCTCTGTCAAACTCATTTCCTGGTATGACAATGAATTTGGCTACAGCAAACAGGTGGTTGACCTGATGGTTCACATGGCTTTCAAAGAATAAGAGCCCTTGGGACCACCAGCCCCAGGAATAGCACTGGAAGAGAGAGAGAGAGACCCTCAGCTGCTGGGGAGTCTTTGCCCCAACTTGATCCTCCCACACACTGAGAATCTCACATCCTTGACACAGTTTCCATCCAAACCCCCTGAGAAAGGGGAGGGGCTTAGAGAGCCCATCTTGTCATGTACCATCAATAAAGTACACTGTACTCAGCAAAAAAATAAAAAAAAGTTATCTTTTTGAAGGGAGGGATTTTTTTTTCAAATTTTTACTTTATATTAGTTTGCTTACGAAGTTCATATACATTTTATTTCATATCATTCCTCATTCACATTGTGTTTCATATAATCATTCCCATGTATTATATTTTGTAAAATTAATTACCACTGTACCTGTTTTCCAGGTTCCCGCCAGATCTTGCCCATTTCCTTTAGCCCCTCTACCCCCCAAACTGTGCAGCCCTGTTATTTCACCCCTACCCATCCTTACCCCTCTGGAAGATGTTGTTTTCATATCAAACAGAAATGTCCTCACCATGAGCTTGCCTACAGGTATTTACGAACATAAACCAGTTAAGATGGACAAGCTTGGGAAAGGCTGAATATGCAAAGAAGCATATTAGTAATTCTTTTTCACTTTATCTTTATTTGAGTAAAAGTTTACAGAGCAAATTATTGATTCATTTATACACATGATGCTTGAGGCGCTGATTACAAGCCCCACACTGTAACAGTCTTCTCACTTCCTCCCTGTGTTGCCCATTTCTATTGGTCCTTCTTTCCTACACTTTTCCTCCTTCTCAGCTCTATCCCTGAGCAAATGTTGCCCTCCTGATCTTTATGGTTAACTGTTCTAAGGACTGTTACTGAGCACCTACTGCTTGGCTTAAAGTAGAATCACAGGTTGAGTCCAATTCTAGGTTTTACTGGTGACTAAGGGCCATGCTGAGAGTGGGGTGGAGCTCCCCGATTAAACAAGCGTGGAAGGAGGAGTGGCATCCACTTTCATAATAGCTTGCCTCCAGAAACCCTATGAACCTGGAGAGAGGATGAAAGGCACCCAAGCATCAAGGACTCTCCTTCATAGGGTCGCTGTGAGTCACCTGCGACTCGATGGAACAGTGTGACCAAGACAAAGGTGGGTGACTTTTAGTTTGTGGCCCTCCGGCCAGTCTTTCATTATTTTTGTTCAGACATTCCTCTAGGTCGTATAGCCCCGGTGTACAAGTTGCCGTCCTGCGGTCACTTGTCATTGCTGTGAAGCTGAACACTGTGACACGGATGTGTCAAATGCGTTAATGGTTGTCTACCCAGTGTGGACTGAGAGTGGGGTGCAGCTCCCCGATTAAACAAGCTTGGTAGGAGGAGTGGCGTCCACTTCCATAATAGCTTGCCTCTGGAAACCCTATGAACCTGGAGAGAGGATGAAAGGCACCCAAGCATCGAGGACTCTCCTTCGTAGGGTCGCTATGAGTTGCCTGTGACTCGACGACACTTAACAACAACAAGGGTCATGCCACGCCCATGGGCTCATATGGGATATGAACTTTGAACCTCTTGCACAGGAAGGGAGAATCACACCCCATAGACCAAAGCACCCTGGATGAGACAGATTGACACGGTGACTAGGCTTATGCAGGCAGGTGTATCAGAGAGGGTGAGGCTGGCTCCGGAAGGACAGGGCTCAGTGCTGCTGCACACAGGGTTCCTAGGAGTCACAGGCAACTCGACAGCACATAACAACAGCAACAAACAACAAGGGCCACAGTCCCAGAGGCTTCAGCAGTCTGCTCCTTTTTATGATTTTTCAGCTCTGCTCTGCTCTGCTTGCTTCCTTCCATGTTGTCAAGGGCTTTCTATTGCGATTCCTTTCCGAATGGACACCACTGAGTGCCTCTGGCTCCGGGTCACAGAGACTAAAGTTCACACAGCCCGTCAGCACTCCGGACTAACCTTTGATTCCTTCACACTCTTTCGCTCCAGATGTGGCCTTACAGCCATACCTTAAATGGTAGCACGAAAACTTTTAAGACTCCAATCACTACTCACCAGAGGAGGATGCAGGACATCATCTCTGAGGAAATGTTACACCAACTGACCCTCATGTCCCCCGAGGGACTATGGTCCCAAACTCCCAGAGCCAATCTCTTATGCCCTCAAGGTTTTCAAAGTTATGGACCTATTTGCTCTATTATTTGCATGTAATAGATTTACATTATGCACAGATATGTTCAGAGAAAAACCATTTACCCAACCTGTGTGGTCATGAGTACAGCCTCATTTGTTTTCACACATTTGTTCATCTTGCCTGTCAGCCTAGGTACCCACCGGTAAAGGAATGATTGTTACTACTGATTCAAGATTGGATAAGTAACAGTGTTGTGTTGTTGTTGATTGCTGTCTAGTCGAGTACGACTCATAACAAGCCTATGAACAAAAGGCCTAAAGCCCTTCTATGACTATGATCATGTATCAAAGTTCATAGAGTTTCCAGAGGCATGTTGTTTAGGAAGTGGATGCCATTCCTGCTTCCAAATTCTAATATGGAGACAATAAAATAAAATATACATAAAAGATTTTTTTACAAAATATTGGATGCAGAAAACTAATTTTTGTTTTTGTTTGACTAAAGCTATTTAAAAAAAACCAGGTACTTACTTATTTTTCATTTGGTCCAATTCCTAAAGACTGTAATAATCTTTCCAGAAGTACTTATTGCACATATTTCAAAAAATAAACAAAAAACTTATATAAGTAAAATGAACTTCCAAAGTCAATTCTTACTTACTTATAGACTGTTATTGTTATGTGCCGTTGAGTCACCTGCAATCCATAGGAACCCGTGTACAGCAGCTCTGAAGCCTGCCCTGTCCTGAGCCAGTCTCACTGACTCACACACATACACCCACTGCCCCAGTTACTATATCAATCCATCTCATCCCGGGGTCTTCCTCTTCTGCACTGTCCCTCCATCCTTCCGAGCATGATGTCCTTCTCCAAGGATCAGTCCTCCCTGACCACATGCCCAAAGTATATGAGATGGAGCTTCAAAATCCTAGTCTCCAAGGAGAAACCTGGTTTCACCCTCTCCAAGACAGGCCTTATTATATATAATATGTGCACCCATCTGTGTCTTTTACTTAATAACTGTGTTACCACTTGGAATATACCCTCAGAAAATGCAAACTGAGGCACAAACTGAGATTTGTTCACCAATGTTCATAGCAACATTATTCACCATCGCAAGAACATGAAACAGCCCAAATGTCCAACCACAACGAATGGATTGAGAAATTATGGTCCATTCACACAATGGAGCAATGATTTTGTAAATTATTACCTAGCTTGGGAGAGACTAGAGAGCATTATGCTGAGTGAACTAACTTAGTTCCACAAGGATAGATACTGAGTAAAACCATTATGGTGGAATGAGTGTAAGGATCCAAGAGGGGTGGGAGAGGGTGAAAGCAGAGGGATGAGGATGTGCAGGGGAAGGGGGATTAATCATGGGGTTGTACAATTTGATGGGGGGGTGAGGGAAATGGAAAGAATCTGATTTCAAAAACAAAGTATTCGAATTCTGTAATTAAACTAGTATAAAATAAAAAATTGTGTATAAAAAATAATAGCTATGTACTGATCATCTCCTTGTCTCCAACTTTTCCACTGACTCACTTTGTTATCTTGTAAGTGATTTTACCAGTCTTCTCCTCCTATCACTGGTAACCATCCAAGAATGTGTGTCTTTCTGCGTGTCAATCTTCCTTAATTGTTGATAGTAGTGGACTAATACAGTACTGGCCCTTTTGTGACTGACTTTGTTTACCCTGCATAATGTCCTCTGGTCCGTCCCTAACCTGAGGTGTTCTGTTGCTGCTTCATGATTCTTTAATGGTGCATGGTATTTCATTGTATGTAGGCACCATAGTTCATTTATTCACTTATCCACTGATGGGCACTTAGTTGGTGCCCAGGTCACTGCTGTTGTGCAAAATGTGGCAATAAACATGAGAATACATAGGTAATGATTTCCTTTTCAAAGTTCAGTTTTAAAACTGAAACTCTAACCCTAGCTGAAAATGAGTAAGTTAATCAGAATGACTAAATAGTATTCTCGTCTATTAATTAATTTCTTGTTAAGTATGAAAGAAAGAATGCCGCTCTTCTGGAGAACTCAGGCCGTACAGCCTTTTTGCTATACTTACTGATAACATTGTAACTTACACCCAAATTATACTGAAATTTGTCCTTTTATGACTGAGATATTCCACTCAGCACAATGTCCTGCAGGGTCACCCATGTTGTGTAATGTTTTATGAGTTCATTGTTTTTCAGTGCTGCACAGCATCCCATTGTGTGAATATACCACAGCTTCTCTATCCAGTCATTTGTTGACGGGCACTGATGCTTTCATCTCTTTGCTATTGTGAATAGCTCAGCAATAAACATGGATGTGCGTGTATCTGTATGGATGGTGGTTATAGTTTCTTTAGGGTATATTTCCAATAGTTAAAAGCAGGTCTGACATAAAGATTCTGAAGGAGAATAGGATAAGAGCGGATAGATAATGAGCACTGCACCGGAACAGGTGATGAAAGAACATTTTAAAAGGAATATCTGATTAGGCATTTTATGTATAGCAGCAGCCCAGAATAAGAGGTACATTGCAAAGAAGTCTGGGGGGTAGGGGGGAGGGAACAGAGGTAATTGTGCAACAATGAATATTTTTTTAAAAAAAGGACTGGAGGAGGGGAAAGGCAGAGGGGGTGAAAACGTGCGACAATGAATTAATGAAAATCTAACTTTTCTGTAAACTTTCATGAAAATATTTTAAAAATTTATTAAAAAATTTATATTGAAATTAATCTATAACTTATTTACCCCCAATGTGTAAGGTATTCTTCAAGGACCACAGGTGAAGTTCAGTCAAGCAGAAAGACATCTGACAGCAGAAGGAATCTCGGTCCTATTTAAAAGGAATTAAAAAGAGGTGTCAATTATCCATTATTTCCAGTAAAATAAAATCCCTTATACATAAGGAGAAGAGTAATTTGGCACAACTGATATCTGAGATGAGATCCATTAGAATAAACACATTTTTGTATCCTTGATTAACCTTCCAAAATACAAACTCCAGGAACAAGGGGGGAGGAATACACTTTCCCCTAGACTTAGTATGTTATCACATTGAGAAATGTGATAGTAAAAGTATATATATTTAGGTTTTCAATAGCATATGTTTAGTTTTTAAGGCTCTGAGTATATTTAGAATTATTTAGTATATAAGTATTTTTTTTAAACTTACATTTTCAAGGAAACATCTGTTACATAGTTAGGATGTACAAACACATATTGTGGTGCATTTTTAATACACAAGGCAAATATTTACAATCTCACATACAAACAGGCTAATTAAAATGAAATCTGCAAGGTAAATGGTACACAGTTACTATAAAAAGAAACATATTTACTTATAGTAAACTGTACAAAACCACATTAGCATGTAGGTTAACTTGTTTCTCTAAGTGACATAAAGGATTCAATATTTTATTGTATTGTATTTTAAAAAACCAAACAAAGGCAAAAATGTGCACCTCATACTTTCTCACAATGTCACAGCAAGACCTCGTGACTGATCTTCATGAGATTTTCCCATCAAGAACTTTTTCAATTTGGGCCAAATCAAATTTTTTAAAATTAACATTCTACTCATTCTATAATAATGGTTGTTGTTTTTTTTACAGTATTTGTCCTTGTGGGACTGAGTTAGTTCACTCAGTATTATGTTCTCCAGTCCCTCTCAAGTTAGGTAATAATTTACAAAATCATTGCTCCTGTGTGCTGCGTAGTATCTCATTGTGTGAATGCACCATAATTTCTCAATCCATTCAACTGTGGTTGGACATCTGGGCTGTTTCCATGTTCTTGGAACGGTGAAAAGCACTGCTATGAAAATTGGTGTACAAGTCTCCGTTTGTGTCTCGGTTGTAATTTTATCAGAGTATATTCCAAGCAATGGAACAACTGGTGGAAGCAGAGAGGTGAGGCTGTGGGGGGTGGGGTAGGGTAGGGGTGGGGGCAAATTAATTATGGGTCATACAATTTGATGAAGTGTTGAGGGAAACAGGAAGGATCTGGTGTGAAAAACAGTGTATTTGAATTTTTAAATAAACTAGTATAAAAAATAATGTAAAATAGAATGTATATGACTGATTGTATGAGACACAATGTAAATGATAAACTGAATAAAACATAACGTACATGAATGAAACATACTGTAAAGATATTATATGTAAATCAAGAAAAAATTGTAAAAAAATTAAATCACACCAAAAAAACCCCCAATAACCCAAAAATTAACATTTTACCAAAAACTTGAAAGGAATCCATGTACTTGGAAGTGTTACTGGGAATTATATACAGCATCATACTATGTGCATACCTTGTTGCTGCTGGGGTTGGCTGCCGTCTAGTTGCATCTGACACATGGTGACCCTACACACAACAGCACATCCTGGTCCTGGAGCCACTGCTATGTTTGAGGCCGCTGTTGTAGTGATTGTATCAAATGATCTACTTAAAGGTCTTCTTTTTTATTGACCACCTACCAAGGAGGACATCCTGGTGCAGAGCTCGGTCCCTCCAATTAGCACTTGCAACCATGAGACATAGTCTCAGCATCCGCCCTTCTAACTATCATTATAATATAAAGTGCATACTGTTGTTGTTATGTACTGTCCACCCAGAACCAACTTAATACTGACCTTCCAGTGGGTTTACAGAAGCAGCAAATGGCACAGGAAGAGACTGTCCATCCTTCTGCACCAGACCAGCTGGCAGATTAGAACCTCACGCCTTTGGGATTGCAGCACAGCTCTTTACCATGGTATAGCACAGTACTATGTATCTTATAGCGGTATCCACTTCCTAAACAACATGCCTCTGGAAACTCTAAGAACAATGACGACTGTTCTAGAAAGGCTTCAGGTTCTTTGTTCATAGAGTTGCTATAAGTCGTGCTTGACTTGACAACAATCAACAACAACAACATCTATATTATACATAAAGGAGCCTTGGTGTCACAGCACATAATTTGTCTAGGAGCTCTGGTGGCCTAGTGGCAAGAAGCTGCGTTGCAATCCTGAAGGCACACAGTTTGAGGCCACCAGCTGCTCCACAGGAGAAGGATGGGCAATCTCCTCCCCTCCAATTAACTGCCTCTGAACACTCGCCAGAGAGAGGGTCAGCTATGAGTCGGTTCTGACTCGATGGTACACAACAACATTAGCTAAAAGGTCAGCAATTTGAATTTGCCACCCAGCCTGTTCTCCAGATTTCTTGACACCACTTGGTGAGCACGTCCAGGGCAGCATCTGTTAGCTGAAATATGTCAACTGGTATACCATCTATTCCTGGGCCTTTATTTTTTGCTATTTCCTTCAATGCAGCTTGAACTTCTTCCTTCATCACCACAGGCTCTTGCTCATGTGTTGTTTCATTAAATTCTTCTGTGTCTGCCAATTCCTTTCAATACAATGACTCAGTATATTCATGCTAATGTGAAACGTATACTTGAACCAAGAGGCAGTTGTCAGAACAGAACAAGGAAACACTGCATG